CCCCCCCCCCCGCTCACCTGAGCAGCTCCTTCTCCTTGAGCTCCAGCTGCAGCATGAGGGCGCTGAGCTCCATGTAGAGGTTGTTGGCACGTTCCAGCTTGCGCTCGTAGTGCTCCCGGATGTCCAGCGCATGCCTGGGGACACGGGTGACATTGTCACACCTGGCACCCCACAAGGTGCCCCACGGCACCCACCTATGCACAAGGACAGCCACCCAACAGCCCTCCCTGCACCCCATGGTCCCCCCTGGTCCCCCCGCCATGTCCTCAATGCCCCCATGGCACCCGGTGTCCCCTGTGTCCCTGGTGTCCCCCGTGTCCCCTGTGTCCCCGGTGTCCCCCGTGTCCTCTGTGTCCCCCATGTCCCTGGTGTCCCCCATGTCCCCGGTGTCCCTGGTGTCCCCGGTGTCCCCCGTGTCCCTGGTGTTCCCCATGTTCCTGGTGTCCCCTGTGTCCCCCATGTCCCCCATGTCCCTGGTGTCCCTGGTGTCCCTGGTGTCCCCCATGTCCCTGGTGTCCCCAGTGTCCCTCATGTCCCCGGTGTCCCCACCGCAGCTCCTCGCGCCGGCGGTTGATGAGCTCCTCCTCCAGCCGGTGCAGACACGTCCCCTCCGACTTGATCTTCTCGAAGTGCAGCTTCACCTCCTCCCGCCACTCCGCCTGCGGCACGGGGCACTGGCTACTATGGGCACCAGGCATTGGCCACCACCATCACTGGCCACCATGGGCACCTGGTGTCCCGGCTACCATGGGCACCAGCTACTGTGGGCACCAGGCACTGGCCACCACAGGCACTGGCCATGATGGGCACTGGCTACCACGGGCACTGGCCGCCATGGGCACCAGGCACCTCAGACACTGGCCATGGGCACCGGCCATTGGCCACCACAGTCACTGGCCACCATGGGCACTGGGCCACCACAGGCACCAGGCACTGGCCACCACAGTCACTGGCTACTATGGCCACCAGCTACCGTGGGCACCAGGCACTGGCCACTTCCAGGTGGTGGGGTCCCTGGATGCTGGGGGTCCCAGGTGGTGGGGTCCTGGCCTATGGGGTCCCTGGGTGTTGGGGGTCCCAGGTGCTGGGGGTCCCTGGGTCCTGGGGGTCCTGGGTGCTGGGAGTCCTGGGTGGTGGAGGTACCGGGTGGTGGAGGTACCAGGTGGTGGGGTCCCAAATGCTGGGTGTCCCAGGGCTCATGGGTGGAGGGGTCCCTGGTTGCTGAGGTCCTGGGTGGTGGGGGTCCCAGGTGCTGGGGGGTCCCAGGTGCTGGCTTTGTGGGACCCCAGGCAGAGAAGGGTGCTCAGGAGACAGTGGGGTGTCCGAGGGACAGCAGTGCCCAGGGTGCAGCCCATGGACATCCCACCCACCACCCCCCCAGGGTGGGGGGACCACCAGGGTGGGGGCTCCAGGGGGTCCCCTCTGCGCTCCCCACATTGGGGTGACAGTGGCGGGGCCCTCGTGGTGGTCCCTACATCAAGGGATTGTCCCCATGGGATGTCTCCATCAGGGCATGGGTGCCCATGAGGTGGTCCCATCTAGGGTGTCCCCATGGGGTGGCCAAGGTGGGGTGTCCCCATGGGGTGGTTCCATCTAGGGTGTCCCCACAGGGTGTCCCTACAGGATGTCCCCATGGGGTCACCAAGGTGGGGTGTCCCCATGGGATGTCTCCACCAGGGTATGGCTGCCCATGAAGTGGTCCCATCTAGGGTATCCCTACAGGGTGTCCCCATGGGGTGTCCAAGTGGGGTGTCCCCATGGGGTGGTTCCATCTGGGGTGTCCCCACGGGGTGTCCCCACGAGGACACTCACCAGCACTGGCGCAGCAGCACCTTGAAGCCGTCGGGGCAGCCGGAGGGGACGGGCAGGTGGAGGCTGTTGCTGCCCACCCCCCAGATGATGGCCGAGGAGTCCACATCCTTGTAGGGGATCTCCCCCGTCAGCAGCTCCCACAGCACCACCCCGAAGGACCTGCGGACACCCACGGTCCCCGTCACCCACAGCCCTGGTCACCCAACAACCCCTGCCACCTGTGGTCTCCATCACCCACAGCCCCCATCACCCAATGGCCCCTGTCACCCATGGCCCCTGTTCACCCAACGGATCCCATCACCCAACGGATCCCATCACCCAACAGATCCCATCACCCAACGGAACTTATCACCCAACAGCCCCCATCACCCAATGGCCCCTGTCACCCAATGGATCCCATCACCCAACAGCCCCCATCACCCAACAGATCCCATCACCCAACGGATCCCCAAGGTGCCCGATGGCCTTCACCAGATGTCAACATCCTCATAGATGGGCTCCTTGTGGACGACCTCAGGTGACCAATGTCCCAATTGCCTCCCAAAGTCCCCCATGTTGCCGTGTCCCCAGTGCCACCAGAGCTTCCTGGTGTCCCCAAGGTTCCCATGTCCCCGACGTCCCCGAGGTCTCTGTGCCCTCACCAGATGTCAACCTTCTCGGAGACAGGCTCGTTGCGGATGACCTCGGGTGCCATCCAGGCCACGGTGCCAGCAAAGGACATCTTGGTGCTCTTGTCGATGAGCTCCTTGGAGGTGCCGAAGTCTGAGATCTTCACCACGTCGTCGTAGGTGATGAGCATGCTGGGGGGCACCCGCTCAGCGCCACGCCAGTGACACGGGCACCGCACCGCCACCGCATGCAACTGCCATGGGCATCGTCGGGTCATGGGCATGCCACCACCACGGGCACACCACCACCATGGACATACCACCAGCATGGACATGCCACCACCATGGGCACAGCACCACCATGGACATGGCACCACCATGGACGTAGAACCACCACCATGGGCACAACACCACCATGGACATGGCACCACCTTGGACGTAGAACCACCACTATGGGCACAACACCACCATCACGGACAGGGCACCACCATGGACACGCTACCATGGATATGGCACCACCATGGGCACAACACCACCACGGACACGGCACCACCACAGCACCACCATGGGCATGCAACTGCCATAGACATGGCACCACCATGGATGGGCACAACACCATCATGGACACGGCACCACCATGGCCATGGCACCACCATGGGCATGCTACCATGGACACAGTACCACCATGGCCATGGTACCACCATGGGCATGCAACTGCTATGGACATGGCACCACCATGGACATGCTACTATGGGCACAACACCATCATGGACACGGCACCACCATGGCCATGGCGCCACCATGGGCATGCAACTGCCATGAACATGACACCACCAAGGCCATGGCAGTGCCATGGCACCACCACGGACATGCAGCTGTCACCAACACACTGCCCCCGAGGACAAGGTACCACCACGGACCTGGCACCACCATGATCATGCAACCACCACATGCAGGTCCCCACCACGGGCACCCACCCAGCACCCACGGGTGCTCCCCAAGCTGCCCATCCCCGCTCACTTGGGCGACTTGAGGTCGCGGTGGATGATCTTGTGGAGGTGCAGGTAGTTCATGCCGCCGGCGATGCCCATGGACCAGTCGACGAGGAGGGAGGGGGTGACCTTGCGCCCGGCGCGAAGGACCTCATAGAGCTGGCCCTGGGCGCAGAACTCCATGATGATGCAGTAACAGGGGGCCTGGGTGCACACACCCCTGCAGGCACAGCGGCACCCTCAGGACCACCACATGGGCACTGGGGCCACCCAGCAGCACTGGGGCACCCAGCTTCTCCAGGTCATCCAACATCTCTAGGGCACCCAGTTTCACCAGGGCTCCCAGCTTCCCCAGGGCACCCAACTTCTCCAGGGCTCCCAACTTCTCCAAGACACCCAACTTCTCCAGGGCACCCAGCTTTTCCAGGGCACCCAACTTCCCCAGAAACCCAAGTTCTCCAGGGCACCCAACTTCACCAGGGAACCCAGCTTCCCCAGGGCACCCAACTTCTCCAGGGCATCCAAGTTCTCCAGGGCACCCAGGTTCTTCAGGGCACCCAGGTTCTCCAAGACACCCAACTTCTCCAGAAACCCCAGTTCTTCAGGGCACCCAACTCCTCCAGGACACCCAACTTCTCCAGACCACCCAGCTCTTCCAGGGAACCCATCATCTCCAGGGCACCCAACGTCACTGGAGCAGTGTGTCAGTGCCCCGTGTCCTGCCCGACCATCTCCATGGTGCCCCATGGCACAGCATGACCTCCCTGCCTGTCCCATGCTGTGTCCATGCCCATGTCCATGCCCCATGCCCATGGTGCTCCCCGTGCCCCATGTCCATGCCCATGCCCATGGTGTTCCCCAGGCCATGTCCATATCTATGCCCCACACCCATGCCACGTCCATGCCCCATACCAAGTCCATGCCCATGCTGTGTCCATGTCCTGTGTCCATGACATTCTCCATGCCCATGGCTTGCTCATGCCATGTCCATGTTCCATGCCCATGGTGTTCTCCATGCTCATGCCCCATAGCATGTCCATGCTCATGCCATGTCCATGTTCCATGCCCCATACCATGCCCATGACCCATAGCATGTCCATGCCCCATGCCGATGGTGTTCTCCATGCCCTGTACCCATGACGTTCTCCATGCCCATGGCTTGCTCATGCCGTGTCCATGTTCCATGCCCCATAGCATGTCCGTGCCCCATGCCGTGCCCATGCCCGTGCCCCATGCTATGTCCATGCCCCAGACCCATAGCATGTCCATGCCCCATGCCGATGGTGTTCTCCATGCCCTGTACCCATGACGTTCTCCATGCCCATGGCTTGCTCATGCCGTGTCCATGTTCCATGCCCCATAGCATGTCCGTGCCCCATGCCGTGCCCATGCCCGTGCCCCATGCTATGTCCATGCCCCATGCCCATGGTGTTCTCCATGCTCATACCCCATAGCATGTTCATGCTCATGCCGTGTCCATGTTCCATGCCCCATACCGTGCCCGTGCCCCATGCTATGTCCATGCCCCATGCCCATGGTGTTCTCCATGCCCCATAGCATGTCCATGCTCATGCCATGTCCATGTTCCATGCCCCATACCATGCCCATACCCCATAGCATGTCCAAGCCCCATGGCCATGGCGTTCTCCATGCCCATGCCCCATGCCACGTCCACACCCATGATGTTCCTCATGACCATGGCTTGTCCACGGCGCGTCCACACCCCACGACCACGGCTCAGCCCTGCCCCACACCACGTCCATGGTTGTCCCCATGGTGTCCCCATGCCCACCCCTGCCCCACGGCCCCTCACTTGAAGGTGATGATGTTGGGGTGCTTGAGCTTGCGCAGGTGCTTGATGTCGGTCTCCTTGAGGTCCCGCACCTTCTTCACGGCCACCTCCTCCCCATGGAAGCGGCCCAGGAAGACGGCGCCCTGCGCCCCACTGCCGACCCACTGCAGGTCCAGGATCTCCTCGAACGGCACCTCCCAGGGGGCTGCGGGCACCCCCATATCAGCGCCCCCCCATATCAGCACCCCAACATCGGCACCCCCCCCACCCCACATCCCAGTACCCCAATCTCTGCCCCATAGCACCCTCCCTGCCCCCTTGTATC